TGCAGAGCATGTCTGGCACTGCTGGTTTTGATTGTTGTAAATTGTTTATGAAGTGTCATTCCTTATTTTCATCAAAAGCTTTTCTTGCAGCAGAGATCATGTGTGCTTCAGCATGCAATTTTCCCCTTCTGGAGGGATGACAATGTGCCGCAGTTTACTTTGCTTGGGTTACACTGCAGTCCCTGCAGTATCATCGTTTTTTTGGGGTGGGGTTTTTTGGGGGGTTTTGTGTTTGTTTTTTTTAAAGGCAAGCACTAGGATATGTCTGTTTCACTGTGCAACAGCTCCCACTGATCAGCAAGGAAAAATAAAATATGCTAAGTAACAGAGACTGCATGCTGTATCACAGACAAAACCTAGCTGTGCTCAGAGGAAGAGATGGGTACCATCCCCCACTGAAAATGATGCTGCTAATGCAGAGGTTTGTGAGCCATTAAATATTCCTACACTGCAGATATTTCAGATTATTTCTCCTAATGCATTATAAAGCCAGATAAGCCTTTCTGAATACATACTGTAAGAACAAGTATCGTAAGAATTTTCTATGTCCAAAAAAACCATTGCATTTTTAATATTACTTCATGTTATATATGACTGTTTGCCATGAAAATCAGACAGATACTTTCATATGTGATTCTTTTAGAAGGCTGGGGCTCTTTCATCGGTGCACCATGGGAGTAAATGAATAATGCCTATTAATAAAAGTAAAGCTAAAGCTATCTGTGGAATCCGCCAGTGCATCAACACCCTTCAACTATATTTTAGTAAGCTCAGATAAATGTGGCAGTTTTTAACCAATGTGGTGTCAGGTCTGGATACAGGGCCACATGCCCTACAGGGTAGAGAACCTAAATCCAAAACCTGCTGGTCCAGTCACAGAAGCATTACCAACAAAACTATCTTTATACAACAAGCCGAATTACCATATTGTAGCTTCATTAGTAGTTCATTTGTAGAACAAAACAAGTATAAAATCTATAAATTCTCTGCAAAACTACAGGCTGTCCCCTCTGCCTGTGACTGCAATTTGTATTTTCTTGATCCCTTCTGCTGCTGAAGACCCAGGCGCAGCACCACGGTCACCTGGCAGGTGGTTGTGCCCTCTTCTGGATGCAGTCAGGCTTAGCGATCTATTATCAATCCTGTGCTGCTGACAGCCAGAGGAGAGATACTCTTTTACTGAATCTGATGTATTTATGGTACTCAACAACATACATTTCTGCTTAAAAATAATACAGACAACGCCCAGAACATATTTTAGGTCTCTTTACAAACAAAAAGCAAATGAGCAATATCCTACCTCTTCCCCCTGCCATCTTTCCCTTTTATATTTTTACAATACCAGTAATTTTTTACGCTGGATACTGGACAAATCTTCTCCATAGAATTTAAACAGAGTTTTGCTATGGAGTCGAGCAAGGCCAAGATTTAAAAAACCTCAGAACTTCTTCCCTTTTATGTCCTAATATAGGTGTTGGTTGGTTGGTTTTTTGGGGACAGGGGTGGGGGGTTGATGGCACCTTCTTAAAATAAAATACACTTACATTCCTGGGTGGGTAAGAGAGAGTAAAGAAAGCTCATTTATGAGAATATTTTAAAGGAGCCTTTCTTATTAATTTTTCATTCTCTGTGAACTAGGACAGTAAGAGAGTGCAGTGTCCTCCCGTTCTAGGAATTTTGCTTAATGCTTTGCACACTGATATATGACTGACCCATTACACTGAAACATCTGTCTTATATCAACATAAAACATAAATATATTTTATACCTGCAGGTTAAGGAGGAAGACTGCAAGTCAACCGTCTTCCATCAAGGCAAATAACTTCCGGGGGTACTGGAATAATTTCAAAGATGTATAAAATGATACAAGTTTATTCAAATACATACACTTGTAATCTGCAAATGTACTACTCTTTTTGCAAAGGACCAAAAAGTTTAGAATTTGAGTCAACAAAAATGGAGAGTGACTTCAGTTGGATTAAGTTTCAATAAACATAACTTTAACAATGATAGAAATTTTATAGGCTAAAATTATTTTATAAATTACCTCACATACCTCTGCACACTACAAAATTTGTAGAAAATTACTACATACACATTTCATGCTTATACCACATAGAATTTTTAAGTTAACTATGTACCTGTCCAGCACTGACTTAAAACAATTTTGTTCTTTAAACAGCAATTCAAGAGTATGACCAAGATTTTTTAAAGCACTTACATTATTACTTTGTGTAATAACTGTTAGCAATTAAGACAGTAAAACAATAACTACTCTGGATCAAAAAAAAAAGAAATTTTAATTCAAATCAGATACAGTTACGAAAAACATACATATTGTCCTTCAAAGCAGAGCATAGTTGAGGGCTTTTTCCTATTAGCTGTATTAGCTATACAGCAGCTACTCTTCACAACAGAAATGAGAATGGGAAAAAAATGCATTAATTACCCCATGCAGAGGTTCACCTGCACACACCCTGCCCCATATCCTGCCACCTGTATGTAGTAACCTCTTGCCAGGGACCGCGCCTGTTAGGCTCTGTAAAGGCATCAGTTGCCTGAAGACAACAGTGGGACGGCCATCAACAGCTCTAACAGGTCTTTTTCCCTTCTCTTGGCAAGCGTGGATTTCTTGAGGGGGAATGGGATTGAAGTGACTCTGTTATCCCCCTGTGGGGCTATTTCGGTGACAGATCTCAGACCACCCACCCCAGGGTGAGCAGTGTCTGCTGGATCTGCTGCTCAGCAAGAATGTGGAGACATCCTCCACTGGACTTGGCCACCAGAGGACACCACTGGAGCTGTAAAAAACTGACAAAAAGCCACATTGCTGGAATGGGATTCTTTTCTGAATTCTAGAAAAACTTCTCTGGTCAGGACAACATAGGCATTTCATCTAGACGGTGACAAGTTGGTACTGATCTAAGTCATAAAACAACACGTGATCTAGATGTCTAAAACACATTGCCTCATTGCTAAAGTGGTTCCCCCTTAATTTTGCCAACTATTACTTGTTAACATGTATAAACTTCATACAATAAAAACACAAAGACTAAAACAAGTACATAAAAAGGTCATCTTTATTGTTTTGGGTTGTTAGCAATGTAGTTATTTTTGGTAAAACAACTTCCTGCATGCAGTTCATCAGTATGCTATGAGCCAATAGTTTCTATAAAAGCAGGAGCCCATCTATATTCTAGTTCTTGTGTAAGAAATGCAAGGTATTCCACTGTCCATTGCACAAGTTCACTATTCATTCTCATGAAGAAAGATGTTGAACAACAAATTATATTTAAAGCGCTTCTACTGCGGTATGAATCAACAAGAAAAGCAGACAGTGCGAGACTAACACTGGGGAAAAGCAATGTTCCTATGACTAAGATCACCCTGAAAATTGACAGACAGGATTATAATTTCAAAAGAAACCCTTCTATCTTGTTTCACATACAAAGACCTACCTACTGATCCATAAGAGAACTGTACTGTCCATTTCTTTTAAAATTATTCCTTATTAAAGTATGCAATTACCAATTCACATTGTATCTTAGGCTTCCCAACAGTAAAGTGTCACAGATAGACAGCAGTAAAAATTACTAGCAACATGAAGATATGTGTAGTTTCTTGTAATAAGTATAAAATGTTATAAAATAAAACTATTTTCAAAATAACAAGAATAGATCAATAGACATATATTATAAAAGGTTTTTTTCTAGCCCCAATATATTTGTCCTGTGTAGTCTGGTTATTTACTGCATACCTGCTGATTACAAAACTCAAACAAAATAAAATCTATAATGGCAGCAAACTATTGCTTACTGGTATGAGGAATGATGGTCTCATCGAATAGTTTTTTTTCTTTTTACCACTCACATGCCTTCCCATCTTAGATTTTAATAGCTGTAGGATAATAGCAGCAAGCATGCATCAGTTAAAGCTTCCCAATTATTTGCAGTATTACAGAATATATCATATTATGTGTTGAAATGTTATAAGCTACACTTACTAGGGTACATATGTGATGCAATAAATACAGTACTTAGGTCACTGTCTCTTTGTTCAAACAGGTATCACTGTGTAAAACAATTGATTAAATACCAGAGGATATTTTACTTACATATATAGTGTCAGCATTGATGATAAAAAAAGTAATCTAAATCACAATGCAGGATAAAGGTGATTTAAGTACATCCTTTTAGTCATCTCAGTTTTCTGCAGAAGATTGCATTACATACAGTGGAAACCTGACTAAAGTACCATGGGGGGGTCAAAACCACCTCTGATGTATGTATTTTGTGTCGCTGGCATGACCCATCCTTCCACAGTATGGAAACTTAAATCTGAGGTATACATTAAGGTAGTATTTGTCCCCAAAGGTATTTTGCTATCAATTTATACCTGTAGCTTTGATTATTGTCCTAAGTGGGATATATCCATATGAAATAAGAAGTCTAGAAACAGACTTTGTAATGAAGTATGGAAGCTACTCATGAAATTACAGGGTCTACAGTTAAAAAAAAGAAAAAAGACTACCACTTTTTTTTATTTCAGTAATTCCCTGTAGGCACAATTTGGCATTTGTAGCAGTATGTGAATTAAAGCAAATGAGATCATGAAAAAAAATGACACACATTGAACATACACAGGAGATGAAATGTACACAGTGCATACACTTATTCCACAAAAATACAGACTTACTACGACCGGTAATTTTGCACTCCATTAAGGGTTCCTACAGTCCAAGTAGAAATCTTGTGTCTCCTCTCCATTAGTGCCAGCTGATGATAAAAACTATGCTTCTGCAAGGTTGCTTCCCTGTTACAGACTGAGAGTTTGCTAGTGAAGGGTCATTATCTTGGTATAGGCACTGACCGTAGCAGTGGGTAAATATGTAAAAACTTGTCATTTTGGCGTAGTCTTCCAATAAGAGCGCTATTGATAGAAACATCATCTTCTCAGGCTTGTGAACATTCATCATGGACAACCTCTTTATCTTTTACTTTTTATTTCCTTTTCTGTCTTTCCCCTTGTTTTTCTGATTTATCATCATCATATTTTTCTTTTTCTTGTTTTGTTACACTGTCATAAGAAGGTGGATATGTGGTGGATGCAGACATATCCATTTTCTCTGGAGGTGAGTTTTCACTTAGCTTACCAATAATCATATCTTTTTTGATAAGTAGATCAACCCCATCTTTCCGAAACGAAAGTTTCTTTACTGACCGTCTTAAAAGATAACATCTATAAGCACGCTGAATGATAGTAGCAGACACTTCCTCCTGTTTCCGTTTTAATGTAGTTGTAATTGGTTCATAGGAGACTTTTGAAGGATTGGCTGCCATAAACCGATCTTCCATTTGTATTCTGAGGGCATCCATCTCGTCACTTTCCCCCAAAACACGCTTTGTGAAAGCAAACAAGATGTCAAGGCAGTGAATTCTGTCACCGCTTACCATGGGTAGATCCATTGCAATAAGTTGAATTGTGTTTGGTTTTGGTATATTAAGAGGAGGATCCAGAGAAGCTGCAAAATCAGACAATTTGCTGTATTCTATGAATTGTGTTGCATCTGGATCATACTTTTCCCAGACTTCATAGAACATCTCAAAGTCATCCTCGCTCAAGGGTTCAGCACTTTCTTCAGTAGCAACACCGAAGTTCTCCAAAATCACAGCAATGTACATGTTCACCACCACCAGAAATGATATGATAATGTAGCTGACAAAGAAGAAAATCCCAACGGAAGGGTTGCCGCAGTCGCCTTTAACAGAGCTCCCCGGATGAGCTTTGTTAGGGTCACAGTCTGGCTCCCCACTGTTAAGAATTGGGTCTAGCAAACCATCCCAGCCAGCAGATGTGGTAATTTGAAATAGGCAGATCATGCTGTTGCCAAACGTTTCAAAGTTGAACATGTCATCTATACCAGCTTCCTGCTTAACATAGGCAAAGTTGGACATGCCAAATATCGCATAGATGAACATGACCAGGAACAGCAGCAGACCAATGTTGAACAGAGCAGGAAGAGACATCATCAAAGCAAAAAGCAGAGTGCGGATTCCCTTAGCGCCTTTAATGAGACGCAGGATTCGACCGATTCTGGCAAGTCGTACAACTCTGAATAAAGTGGGGGACACAAAGTACTTTTCAATCACCTTAGCTAGAAACATACCTGTGAAACGTAAAAATAAAATTAAAAGGGTAACATTTTATCACAGATTAGATTTTCTACAACAAAATATAAATAAAGAACATCTCTACCTGTGGAATTAGTGGAAATTATAATTGGAGATAAAATTTATCTGCTATGGGTAATTTAAACTTTTTTCCAGCACTCTTAGAAAGAGTATTAAAATTAATATAGAATTATTAAGAAAGTTACTATTCTAAAGTATGCTTTTCATTTCCTAAATAATCAGGAGACTTTCAGTATTTCCACTGATCTGTAAAACTTGACAGAGATAAAGCATTTAATACATGTCTTACTATATTTCATTTTGAATATAAGAATTTCTTACCTACTATTGAAAGAATAACAACCACAAAATCAAAAATATTCCAGCCAACGGTGAAGTAATAATAACGGAGTGAGAACAGTTTGAGGACACATTCTCCAGTGAAAAGAACAACAAAGACCAAGTTAATCCAGTATAAAATATTTTGCATCAGTTCACCCTGGCCATCTGTTTCTATCATCATGGTGACCATGTTAAGACAGATGAGAACCATAATGGTGATGTCAAATGCTTGCTTTGTTACAATATCAAATACCAGACCTTGCAATTTGTTCTGAGGGGAGAAAAAAGAAAAGGTGGTATTATCTTGCACATAATGAACATCCTTTTCCTCCCTTCATTTCCTTCTTCCTCCCCCAAAATATACAACCAAGCAAAAGGCTGAAAAATCTAAAAGCACTGTTCAGTAACTTCTTTATTTTCCAGCTCTAAGTTTTCCCCTCAAAACCCAACAGGCTTCTATTTCTTCAGATTCTTTGATTTGCTACTTCCTCAGGCATAAAAAATGTGAGAGATTTTCTCCTGCAGAACAGAAATATGTACATGTTTCAATTCAGAATGAAGGGCTAATTTGACTTCGGCCTAAACCATTTTAGAGTTGAGAGAAATTTTTTGATAGTTAATGTACTGCTGCGATTTCTTCCCAAATGTATATGATACAAGAATAGGACATATTCTTACCGCTGGTCTAGGTATAGGTTTTTGTGGTTTCTTGGATCCCAGCTTCTTCATTGCATTGTAATATTTCTTTTGTTCTTCTGTCATGAAAATGTCTTGACCTCCAAGGTAAAATAATAAAACCAGAACAGATTACAGCCAAGCCTTATAATCCATTAATTCACAGCACTGCAGAACATGGTTTTTATGGACCACGTATTCATTCTTATACATTGTTACCAAAACCAAAATATAGTAATTATATCAAGGATTGTTAAAATATCTGGCAAGTCTTGATGGAAAAATAAAACAAATTAAGGAACGGAAAAAACCTCCAGGACTTCTATCTATTTGTTATTAAAAAAAAATACATACCTGATTAATTCAATTAAATACGTACAAAAAAACCCTTGTAAAAATATACATTCCATAGATACTTATAAATCTAACATCATAAACTCCACACTGTAAATCAATTGACCAGAAATAGAAAAGCTTCAAAGGTAGAAAGATTCACCAAGAGCTGATACGCCTTCAGGGAAACTGTATGAGGAAAAAGAAATTACTGATGTGACTTTTCAGGATGCACATTTTATCATTTCAGTATGGATATCTCAGTTCAGATGTTTTTTTGCCACAGTAGTATTTCCACAGTGTATGTGAGGGTTGATCCCCCTACATTGTACAGAGATCATCAGAAGCGTGGGCTTACTCTGGGGTTTCTTGCCTGAATAAGAGGACAGCAGTCTGAGTAAAAGAGTATCTAGACCGGGATGTGTAATACATGTATGGAAACACTTGTCAGGAAGACAATTTCTGTTGACAAGTAACTTCCTTTTTTTCTTTAATGCATTTGTTTGTAAGTACGTTCCAGGTATGCATGATGCCAAAGCAGTGGCACTTGGAAACGGCTTTCAGAGTCACAGGTGATTCTGTGACTTGTCAAATGAAGTGTCAATCTTATTGAGAAAGTAATGATGAATCCAGATGAAGACGTGCTTGAGTCTTTCAGCAGTGGCTACACATAGACATGAACATTTAGAAGTCAAAAGAAATCCTATTTATCATGCTCTCATAATAAGCCAAATATTCAAGTAAAATTCAGTTCTTAGAGAGTAAGGGTTTTGGAAGAAAAACAAGAAATTAATTTGCTGATTATGGTGGAAATCTGATGTGACTCTGTCAGGAGATTTAACCCAGTGGGAAATAAAAACAAAACAAAAAAAAAGCAAGCTAGAAAGGAACTGGCATTGAACTGAGGATTTCTTCTGCTGCCTTATTGATGTAATGGCTATCAAGAGTGAATAAGTCATCATTGTCTCAGTGTGCTATCCATAGGGAGAATAGTGGTCTCAAGACACATTATATCCCTTTGAGGACTGTAATGGTTAAGAATTTGACAGCTAGTGGAACACTTTTTTCCCCATGGGAACTAATGTAATGAAAGTAGGATGCACACAGGGACCAAAGAAATGCACACAGTTTGACTACACAGGGACAGTATATTGCAACATGAGGTCTTTCCCATTCATATTCCAACAATGTTGCCCAAAATGGAGAGATCTCAGTGATGTGAAGGCAGAACAAAGGCAAGAAAAATACTGCTGGGTGGCTGTGCACTGCATGATCTGCACATTTCTATGAGCATAGGTTCATCTATAAATTCAAAAGACAGGCGACTAACATTTGCTAATTTGCTACATGAAACTGAAGAATAGCACGTAGATAGAGTTTTCCCCAGCCTAATTGTTGTTCTTTGTGATATCTGTGGTATTTGACTTCCTTGGTGACAGTTACAACAGCTACAAATGTACAAGGGGTGTATACCACGCTGCCAGAAAAAGCCCTTCAGCAGGAACCCTTCTCTGGCTTCTGAGTTATAATGACTACAGTAGACGGTGTCTGCCAAGTGAACTTAATAGAATTTATAATCACCTCATTACCAAGTAAGGTCACCTTGTTACATACAGACTGACAAAATGCCAATAGCATGTATATAACCTTAGTCTTCCTCTCCAAGGATAAGAAACTGAACCACCTTCCTTTTAAGTACTGGAAGCCCCCGATGTTTATTCCAAGGGAGGTGCAAACATCTTGAAGGATGAAGATGTCATCAGGTTTGGAACCACAAACTCATCTTTTCTATTATGTGGGTCTGCAGATAAGAGACTCAAAGGATCTGAAGAAGCAACATACAAAGCTGCAGACTTCAATCTCAACTGGAAAGATTTACTGGAAGTTTCCACTGCAGTAAGTCTAGCAATATCTTTTTTTCAGTACAATGAATAAACTTGACAAACCATCTAGAATCACAAATTAAGAAATTATGTACTGCCAAAATCAATATTCCAGTATGATTCTGCTCCAAATGTGTACAGGAAAATAAGACTATTGTAGACCTTAGACAGCATTTATAGTTTAAATAATAAGTAGAATTTAATTTGCCATCATAGTCTGAATTTTAATCGATTTAAATGCTACTGGAGTTCTTGGCACAATCTTGTGCTCATTTGAATAATAGAAACAATTGCAGTTGAAAAGAAAAACTACACGTTTTCAAATGTCAACAATTTTCTTTCTCTTGCGAATTCACTAACTCATGAGACAGTTTCCCAACCCTCTCTAATCTTACAGTAGAGAGTAGTTCCAGCATTCATCCTGTCTGTATTAGTCTCTTTATAATTGAGAAGGCCTTCACAGTACTGCTATACGTTATCTGTGTATCAATTTTGATATTTGTAGTTTTGCATATTCTCTTCTTCCCTGTCATCTATTTGCTTGAGTTAAGTCATCTCCATTTTCACATAGCTTTGTCACAGCACTGTAAGGGTGAGTGAAACACAATACATAACTTTCTGATGTATGACATATCATTGGGCTGTACAGGGATGTGGAGAACACTCGGACATTCAGCGAAAAATAATACATAACTTTCTGATGTACGACATATCATTGGGCTGTACAGGGATGTGGAGAACACTTGGACATTCGGTGTAAGTTTAAATTACTTCAAATGCCTTAAAAAGCAAAGACTATTATTTCATTATTTTGAATAGAATAAAAGGAAATCTTAATAGGTGATTTCTTTTTTTTCTTTCTATTACTATGAGAAATTTCAGACACTCATATTTATCCTTGCATACATTTGCTGAATGCTCAATAACAATGAAGTGTAGTGAAAATGAAACACGTGATACTTATCTTCTTTTTTTGTTGGTTGAAGTTATCTATGATGACACCAATGAATAAGTTTAGGGTGAAAAACGATCCAAAGATGATAAAGGCAACAAAGTAAATATACATGTACAGGTTGTCCTCATACTTGGGCTGTTTCTCTGTCTATGTAACACAGAAAACCAGGAATACATCACAAATAACAGTTAAGACAAATTACAGTATACCAAGCAGGAATAGAAGTTGCATCCAGCTGGACAGCAACTCCTTGACAAGGTGGGAAAAACAGCTGTTTTGGAGCACACCCTACACTTCCCTTATCTTTGAACTTGAAAATCTATTTAATAATGTGTCTATAATTGCATCACAATCCCCTTCTCTCTGCCAGTTCCTCTCTAATGACATTTGATGTTTCATGTAATTTCTACTAAATTTGACAGAAGTGTGCAAATCTCAAAAGCAATTCAGTTCCTATGGACTTTATGCAAATCAGAAGCTGGATAGAGGAGAGATGCAAACAAATACCAGCATTAACAGAAAAACAGGCAAAATTCAGCCATTTTATTTTTTGAGATCGCCAGAGTCTGCAGCTCTGGATTAGCTATTGCAGGTGATGTCACTTGATTATTTGGGTTATTTCTGGAGACAAAGGAAAAACTTGTTTCCTAATCTGTACAATCACAGTGACATAAATTAATAGGAAACCAGATTTTATTAGTTTATTTACAGATTACTTATTAAATTAGTAACACTTTATATAGATCTACTGCTATAATTTTTTTTTACCTATTAAAAGTATATGCACTTAACTACTTTATAGTGCATAGCTTTATACAGAAAATGTGTTAAGGTGTTATCTTTTTATTCTTTATATTTTACTTTATTTCAACTGCCATCCAAGAAGCATTACATTAATCTTATATTTGTTTTCACTCGGTAAATTTTATATTGCACTTACTTCTCTAGAATCAACCGCAGCATACATGATGTTCGTCCATCCTTTAAATGTTGCCTAAAAACAAAGTTTGTTAATATTTTCTATCAAAGCTCCAATTTTGTAAACATTCTAAATAAAACACTGTCTTCTGCAATGTATTTGCACCCACAAAAATAAAGAAGAATATTAAATGTCTGGTAAGACATGCGTGAATTATTCACAGGAAGTAATTTACTGTGGAATACTTTTCCCTAATACATAAACACTGAATAAAATCTAATCTTCATGTAAATTCATATAAACTCTATGTGGGATGAGTTACAATCAATATCTGAGAATAACAGGAAGACTGCAAATTTTAAGAAGGCACTCGGTTCTAACTTTCTGATTACCAAAAAACTGGAGGAGGACTCCAAAAATCAGCCACCATGGGTTGGCATTTTTCAGACAGAATATGCAAATAGTCCTAGAAGAAACTCCAGAAGACAAGTAGTCCCATCAAATCTTAAGAACATAACAGAATCATAGCATGGTTTGGCTTAGAAGGGACCTTTAGAGATTATCTAGTCCAAACTCTCTGCCATGGGCAGGGACATCTTTCAACTACATGACACACTTACAATAATGGGGCATCCACAACTTCTCTGGGCAAGCTGTTCTCACCACCTTATCATTAAAATAAAAAAATTTCTCCTCATATACAAACTAAATCTACCCTCTTTCTGTTTAAAACTGTTGCCCCTTGTCCTGTCACTACAAGACTTGGGAAAAATTTTCTCTCCGTGTTTCTTATAAGCCCTCTTTATATACTGAAAGGCCACAATAAGGTCCCCCTGGAGCCTTCTCTTCTCCAGGCTGAACAACCCCAACTCTCTCAGCCTTTCTTCCAGCCCTCTGATCTTCTTCTTGGCCCTCCTCTGGACTCACTTGAAGAGGTCCATGTCTTTCTTGTACTGATGGGGTCTCATGAGAGTGGGGTGGATGGGGAGGATAACCTCCCTAGATCTGTTGGCTACACTTCTTGTTATACAGCCCAGGATATGATTGGCTTTCTGGGCTGCAAGTGCACACTGCCAGCTCATGTCCAATTTTTTGTCCACCAGAATCCCAAAGTCCTTCTCTGCAGGGCTGCTCTCAATCCATTCACCCTCCAGTCTGTACTGATACTGGGGATTGCCCTGACCCAGGTGCAGGACCTTGCACATGGCCTTGTTGAACTTCATGAGGTTCACAGGGGCCCACTCCTCAAGCCTGCCAAGGTCCCTCACAATGGCATCCCATCCCTCTAAGCATATCAACTGCACCGCTCAGCTTGGTGTCATTTGCAAACTGCTGAGGGTGCACTCAATCCCACTATCTATGTCACTGATGAAGCTATTAAATAGTAGTGGTCCCAGTGTAGACCCTTGAGAGACACCACGTGTTACTGGTTTCCACTTGGACATTAAGCCGCTGACTGTAAGTCTTCGGACACAGCCGTCCAGCCAATTCTTTATCCATCTAGAGGGCCTTCCATCAAGCCTACTCCTGTGAGCTATGATATTAAGTAAAAACAAGGTATGAATGGTATGTTTACTGGAAACATTACATAGCTGAACCATTCTATACAACATATGTTACAAGAGCTAACAGCACTGCTGTCCTCTACACTGGTAATTTATGCAACTGCCTAGTGCTATTTAGCAATAGCTAGTGTTATTCCCTGGAGCAATCAGATGGTAGCCTGCTGGCACAATACTAACTACTAAATACTACCAGTTGGAGATTTTTAAAGACAGAATAATTACCAAGTACTTATGAGCACAAATATTTTCCCAGAAGCAGTTTGTCAAGCAAACCCAAATACGAATGTAGGCTTCTGTCCTATTGGCTCCAATTTAGACGCTGCCTCTAAAGAAGGCTTGTGCTTAGAAATCTAGCACTAGCAAATTCTGCAAATGCTCATCCACAGTTTAAAAACAAGCTAAAAACTATCTCTAAAAAACCCACTTGATAATAATAGACAACGACTAGAGTAGGACTAGTAAGAACAGTAAAAAGGGAAAGAAGAGAAAGGAAAAAGTGAATTTAAAACCTTTTTCTAAATCAATAGTTGGCTCTCTTCTTGTTTGAAGATCAGATGAGCCCTAGAATATATCTATTTGACTACCATGGTAAAAATTTAAGTCAACATGCCTTAACAGATCAAGCAAATAAAAGAAAATTCATCCTAGCTGCCTTTTTTTTTTTTACTTTTAACTAGATAATGTATTTCTGTAGAACTTGAAAAGGTGCCAGTAGTTGGGTGCCAAGGGAACTTTATATCCCTCCGGTAGATATTAGATATTCCTCCTCTTCCAAAATGGCCACAGAATGTATCAGATTTTTACCATAAGCAATATTAATTAGCTTCATAGAACACAATTATAAAATCAAATCCTGCATCCGTTCATATATTGTAAAATAACACTGAAAATTATGGAACTAAGGGTTACTGCTACAAAAGTTAAAGCTGGAAAATTAATTTATCAAAATTTATACACTTACTACTTGAAGCAGAGAAAGATAACCAGCTCCAACATTATCAAAGTTTACTTTCACATTTTTCCACCGAACATCCACAGAAGTCATCATAAGATTTTTACACACAGTTGCATTACTGACTTTCTCTGGTGGGAAATTCTCACCAGTTGTGGTGTTAACACAGTGATAGAACTTGCCAGCAAACAAATTTACTCCCATGATGCTGAAAATTAGCCAGAATGTAAGACAAACCAGAAGTACATTCATAATGGATGGGATTGCTCCAGTAAGAGCATTCACAACCACCTAGTAAATAAACAGAGAGAAAAATACTTTTTAAAAACAGTATGTAAAGAAGTAAAAAGATCACTTTTTATTTCAAATGTAGCAAAAAATTTAATGTAAAACATTAAAATACTTTGAAGTAATCCTAACAGAAAAGGAATAACACATAATACAATCAAACATGCTACTGTTGGCCTTGAAAACAGACATGCAGTTCAGTGCTCCTCTGTGATTTTATAATTAGGCATATTTTTATGGATTTGTTTTACACACTATTTCTTTTTTTCTTACCCTCATGCCTTCAAAGCGTGACAAAGCTCTTAAAGGTCTCAAAGCTCTTAATGTTCGGAGGGATTTAATTGCACTGAGTTCTGAGAAACCAAGGGCATTAGCTACTAAGCTAACCAAGGAGACCTAGAGGAAACAAAGCAAAACAAAAGAATTTTTTTTTTTTTAATAGCCTCACAATACAAATGTAATGCCTCAAGGAAGAAAACTTTGATCTGGATATCAGAAAAAAGTTCATTAGGACCCTAAACTTCTAGTAAGAACAAATAAAAAAGAACAAAAAATTTAAAAAATTAATAGAACATTGCGTGTAAATTTCAGAACGTTTTAAACAGAGACCTTAATCTCTGCAATTTTCATCACAGAGTGCTAGTTAGAAGAATACACATCATATCTGTGCAAAATGAAGGGCAATTTGGACAAAAAGAACTTGAATAAAAGCTCATCTTCCCAATAAACTCAGCCAAAGCCTGAAATGTACTGAAAACCCAATCCCATTCTACGTGACATGTTACAATACTAAACAGTGCTCTACTACAGATGCATTATTATAGTCATGATAAAATGTGAGCCAGCAGCATTTGCTTCTGCTAATTTGCACTTAGAGTAATTCACATAACAGCAGATATATAAATAACCAGTAATTCATATTGCCTGCAGATGATGACAGGCTTGGAAGTGGTATATACTCAGTCAGACAGGAATCTGACATGTGTGACTCCTAACTGTACGATAAACACAAAGAAATACCAATGTCAATACAATTACCTAAAAGCAATGCACTCAAATGCATAGAACAGTAGACAGCACTTTCCTGGGAAGTGGAGTTATGACAGAGGTAATAATTTAATTGTGAGCTATGGCTTGTCGTCTTTTCAGACTACTGCAATCTGGATATTTCAAAATCATAATATCAAGTACCAGAAGAAAATCTGTGTTTACCTCCATTTGGCAAAAAACACTGTTTCCAGTGTTTCAAGTTCAAAACTGAAGTTAAAAATTCTAAGTCCAAGAATGATCAAGAAGCTGGTAGATATGTTTTAAGAGTTATCTGCCTTAGAGTATTGAAATGGGTTAAACAATGGCACTTTATAAAATACATAGACAATGAGGAGAAACTGTCTAACTTTTTATGTTTTTTAAACATAGCATGCAATGTTTTCATAAAATCAAGGGTGCTTTTAAAAAATCAGGATGCAATGTTTTTTGTAAATCGCACAAACTAGTTAAAACCAAATTAACTCAAGGAACTCAACATCTGTGCAATATGTGGAATACAAGCCAGTGATCACTACAATACCTTATCATGGTGACTATATACCTGTACTTATAAAATAACCCATCGAAAACTTTAGATAATTCAGCTGCTGAAGTAATTATAATTAGGCCACACAGTTCAAGAGAAGAAAATTTAATTAAAAAAAAGGAAAAAAGAGAACTAGGACAAGATTCAGAAAAAAACCACATTCACTGAGTGGAATGACCGTTTATGCCACCAATCTGAATTCCTATACAAACTCAACTATAATACTAAATTTCAGAAGACTGTGCCTTCTTTAAATTCAAATGCTAGACAAGCATTTAGCACAGAAATCATTAATCCATATGAATCCATCAAGACCTTAAGATCATTAGGCCTTACTTTTATAATTCTAGTGAAGATGTAGAGAAAATCTGTTTCAAGTATTCCTGTCAGATAACCATATTTTCTTACATAATGCAGTTATTATATTTTCATATTTGCATTGCAAGAAATCCTCTTCCTGCAAGACTGGCACATCTCTACTTAATGATGCCATAATTTTATCTTTCTTTGTAAACTAAAATATAATTTAATATACTACTTTCTTCTACTTTCTTTTTTTGGAGGGGAGAAAGGTAAGGGAGGATAGTTCATCTCATCACACAGTGCTGATGGCAATTAAAGCCTAATTTTTCTGGTACCATCTGTGGATGTGTGTGCATATGCAAATAAGCTTCTTTTTTTTTTTTTTTTTAAATAAATAATTTCCTCCTCTTCCTTATTTATGATCATGGTTTGGACAACTCCTGATACCAGGCTCTGAACTTTCTTCCACATACAAAAGTGCTAATTGTAACACTTCTGTGATGTAAAATTAGACAATAATATTGTATACTATCACAAATACAGTAAATTCAAAAGGTATATTGTAACAAAAAGAAAGGGAAATGTAAAAAATACACTGTAATGATACATGTGAGACAGAATCCATCCTCACCTTCACTTGAACTTTCTGTTCTTATAACTACCAAATGGGGCATTTGCAGAAAAGCACATTGTTAACGTAAGGTGGAAACACCTTTCTTTGGATTTGTTAAACTGCTTGTGTTTCGGACAATTAATGTGCCTTGAGATTTATTTCTTCTTTTAAGACTGTTACTTTTGTGGAAGAGAGGGTCTAATCCACAAGAATTTTTGAAACCTTCAGTACAACTGGATTAACAGCTCAAAAGCCGATTGTCCTGCTGTTTTCTGGTGAGAGTCAATGACTTTTGTCCTCACTGAATCTTCCAGTCCAGATGGCTGTCTCCTGTTGCCTTTACACATGAGGAAGCCTTATGCAGATTTCTCTCCTCTAAGGGTAGTTCAAGCAAGCTGTCACACACTACACAATCCCATGTCTGATCTTTTTTATTATACCCTTTTAACTTGCACATGGAAAGCTGAGCAAAACCAGCATTTGTATTTGTTTTGGGGTTAATTATCCTTTTCTGGAAACACTGTGAACATCACAACGGGTACGAATTTCTGTTTGTAGCTCTTTCCCAAGTAGGGGACAGCTGAAGAGTTTAGACCAATAGGTACAGAATGGTTTGCCTAAAAAGATCCTGTAAAATGTTGCCACACTGTGAAACATTTAATTAGACTGGTACTGGTATGGCAAATTTGTTCAATGTTTAGCTGGGTAAAGGCACAGGACAGGAAGATAAAGCAAAGAGATTTGAACAGTTGAGGGCAGCACACTGCCTGCTACCTAACCAACACGTAAAATGCCAGCAATAAGAGAAAGAATTAAAGTTGCTTGCTACTAGCTGAAAACAATAACAAGTAAATCTGGCAATAAAGTCTGAAAAAGCTAAGCAGACCACCACTGACTTTTTCAGGGGGATGGGTGTGGTGGGAGGAGTGGGTTTACAATACAGGTGGTCAAACACTGGAAACAGATTGCCAAGTAGGGTGGCAGAATCTCCATTCAAAACTGGGTGTCACCCTGAGCAGCCTAATCTGACCTTGAGGTTAGAACTAATTTCTTAGCTGAGCCTGCTTTCAAGGCAAGGAGCTAGACCAGAAAGCTAGACCACCTCCAAAGGTGCCTTCCAACTAAATTTGTCTATGATCTGCTGCTATAGGGTCATAAGATGTAGGCATTCCAAGCAAGAGATGAAGATGGCTACATGAAAGCACTGAAATCACTGGTAAAAGGAATAGCCCATACTATCCATATGGAGATATGGTATACTTTACTAAGAAGAATTCATCTTAAACACAATTCAAAGGGGAGAACTCTTATACTTACTAAGTTTCTTAAAGATCAATACATCTGTTCTGGGAATATATGCTGACTTTATGCTTTGTATAAGTATATATTGGGTCTTCATAACAGAAGAAATGGAGAAGATATGAAAGGAAAAAGCGGAAAATTGAATTTCCCAGACAGAACATATGTTATTTCATGTCATTGAGTTAGCCCATTTGCTCAGAATGGGAATTCTGTGTCCCCACCCTATAACTGATGCTAAAAAGAGAAGCATAGTTAAGTGAGGAAGACTGATAACAAATACCACTTGTGCCTTTCCCTCCAAAACAACCTATTTAAAAAAGAGCATTAGCTAAGTTTCTATTCTATTGGTAGGGGACAAAATTTCTGTCCTAGATTCCTGATTCCATCTGATTAATAGAGTTTTCCCCTGTCCGTTTGCTGAATTTCCACTCAAGTGTCTACACAAAGAGAAAGAACTCCTTTATAAGAACATATCATACAATGTCACTAATTTCATTAATTTCTTTGGAGTGCAATTTCAACAGTAATTTTATCATAATTGTTGAAAAACATTAACTCTGTCACCTAAAACATGGCGCTTTTTTCTGTTATAAGAATTCAGAATTCAGACAGGCAACGAGTGGCATTCTCCATGATCGGAGACAGAGCCAAACAAAACCAAAATAATTTCAGCTTCCAAAAAGTATCTTTAGAAAGTCATGTGTCAATGAAAAGTGCAAGAGTTGCAGCAAAATTAGCCTTGCAGCCTAGTACACAGTGAGCCCCATAGCAATCAAGATGAGCATTGCGAATGAGTGATTCCCACTTTTTTTATATCGATCCATAGGCCACCGCTTTTCATTTTCTTCAATCCTTCTTCTTTACTCCAATTGCTGCCTCCTTGCCCCCACCCCTCTTCTTTTGCTGTCTTGATTTCCTGATAACATTCACACCTGCAGCTCTTTGCCAGTGATTCATTAAGCCCGGGATTAACTGTCCCACCCCAACCCCATGTGCTCACTTATATTTCCCTTCCCTTCTGTGTCTACTTCCTCCTTGTTCTCTGTCACCAAATCCAGATGATTGAAGCCCAATCAGCTGATAGTCCTCACTCACTCATTGGGACACAGTGCAGTAAAACACAGACAGAACACATGGAATCAATGATAGCATAAATATAAAGGCAGATTTAGTTACTCACTGAATAATTACAATGGAATCTTATTCACCAGTATGGCATTTTCTGTTCTTTTAAACCCAATTTATATTCTTCACTGTATATATATGTATCAGATTAGAGTTACATAAAAGAACCTGCCTAAACAACAGAAATAGGTTACTTAGAAAGTATAGTACCTACACCAACAATCAGGAAGTCCAGCCAGCACCAAGCATTAGTAAAATAAGTTTGAAAACCGTAGGCCACCCATTTTAGCACCATTTCCAGAATAAAGATGTAAGTGAAGATTTTATCAGCATATTCCAGTATGATTTTTATAGTCTTGCGCTGTTCAATATATATATCTTCAAAAGCCTGTGAAGAATGGGTTACATATAAGTCAGATATTCATAGCTCTTTGCAAATTACAAATTAAGCCAAAAGAGCTGAATTAAAAACAGCAAAGTAAAATCACTTTCAACTTCAGGTGTTTTACCTTGAAAAGCCAGCATGAGCAGAGATTACAACTGCATTCCTTCTGAGTTTTAGATTTTATCATTGCCTGATAATGGTATTACAATGTAATAACTGAAGTTGCCAAACAGGGGTTTTAGAAATTTCAGTAATAGTCAACACGGAATTATAATTTGTCACCCTGAAAAGCCAGTCAGGCTCAGTCAGAAGGCAGTCTCTCGATTATAATAAATTCAACTAACAAAAGAGAATAATGAGCTACAGTAACCTAACATTATATTGCTGCTGATCTTTGCTGAATTCCTATATCGAGTGTTGCTGGCAAGGTTTTAGTAGCAGAAGGCTACAGGGGTGGCCACTGTGATAAGAGGCCAGGGGCTGTCCTGTGCTGGCTCCACAACGGACCCACCACAGGAAGCAGCTGAGCCCATCAGTGTAGCTGGTGGTGCCTCTGATATTTAAGAAAGGGCAAAACACCACATGGCAGTATGAGGACCGAAGAAAAAAAGTTAGAGAAACTACCCTGCAAACACCAAGGTCAGAGAAGAAGGAAGGGACATGGTGCTTCAGGTGCCAGAGCACAGATGATAACAGTATATATCAAATCCTACATCAATCACCAACTAAAACCAACCCAATACTTAGTAGCTGTGTGAAGGACTAAATGTCACTAAATATAGTATAAAGGAATTAAAGGATTCCTATGTAACAGTCTCGAAATACTAAAACTAAAGCAAAAAATTAACTGAGAACATGATGAATTCAGTATCTGTACTGCTTTTGGGGACAATTTTAACTTAAAGTAGAAGAATTGTTCCAGTTATTGCGTACAATTAATTTTGTATTATTTTTATAATTTCTTAAACAAGATTTGTAGTGTAATCCTTTTCATAAGCACTCTCACACACACATATCACCTTGTATTCATCAAAAATTCACCTGCAGAATTTTAACGACTTATTTTATATGCACTACTCAAAATATTCTGGGAATTTAGTTCCAAGCTCTCTTTCAAACCAACTTTGTATTTTATTCTTAATGAACACAGATATATTATTAATCCTATCTCTGATAAAACGTTTTTTATAGGTACTGTTTCTATGGGTGCAAGCTCTACTTACCAGAGCACCACTGCTGAGAAGAATCATGAAGACAATGAATGTTTCAAACCAGTTGTGTTCTACTATCTTGTAGCAGGTTTTTCGAAGGTTCCACCAGATTCTTCCTTTTGTACTTTCCATACTGCCTTTACAGCATTTAAACTTCTGTGTACAGCCTAATAATACAATGACAAATTGTTATACAGTAGAATTTTCATTATCCTGAAAAAGCAAAATCACTCTTAACTAGCTACTGTTTCACAAGGTTCAAATTACTTCAATTTATGCTTCAAATTACTGCATGCTACTTAACGCATCCTTACCTTCTTGATTTGATACTTTGGATGTAGGAAAACTTGCATGTACACAATTTTTCTACTACCCTGACACTACATCAAGCTTAGAATAAATAAAATTTTTAAAAAAGTCATCTAATTGAGCTAATTTTCATTTACAAACACATTTTAAAGAACTATTTTTCATTTATAGACAGATAATCAAAGAACATATGAGAAGTGTCAGGGAGTAGAAATAAAGAGCATAAACACATAGCAACTTTCACATGACCTAATTCAAGAGTACAGCAGCTTCTTTTAAAATTACTTTTGTCTCTCAGCTAAGGTTCAAATAAATCATGCAGATGTAAACACCCTTTATTTTATTATATTATACTGAGGAATGACCTCTGCTTCAAGGGCTGACTAAGGATACCTCTTTCATGACACAAACAACTGATTTAACTGGAGATTGTGAGAGCTTTTCCATGTAGCACAGATTTGTGGCAACCATCCACAGAATTGTGCCTCACCGTGGAGAGCTCCCTACCTTATCATAGGGCCTCAAGGCACCGTTTTCAGTGAACCTCAATATCTGCCTGGCCAACAGTAGTCTCCTTATGTCTTTAAAAATGACTAATCACGTAGAAACATAACCAAGTTTAAATGATTGTAATGGGTCCCAAAGGCAGCATTCCAGTTTTCCTGTGAGTGTCATTAAGTCCATATGTTACAAGTAGGTTACACTATATGTCATCAGCTCAGATAAAACAGCTACCACTGTGAAGAGCATGATTTATCTTACCTTCAACTACTCAAAATGCCTACATTATGGAAAAATTAATCTTATGCTCAAGGATTGACAGACATCACATAATAAAAGGATAAGGAAGAACTGTAACATAACATGAAATTATTTGTGAAGTGTACTTTTTTTTTTTAATCAAGAGCTTGCTATATCAATATAGCCACACGTTCCAAAACAATTTTGTTTTTTTAAAGATGGGTGAAATAACATTTCAAAGGACAAGCGACCTAGCCTAAGTCAAAGGTGTCTTCATAACAGTAAATCAAAAAGCATGGATAACATAGGAGAGTTAATCCTGGAACATATTTTGCTTTGAATTACTTTAATCATGACTTAAAAGGAAAGTAAGACCTGTAATACCACAAAAATGGGAAATACATTCCTATACAGTAATTTTCACTAGTCCTTTAAAGAATATAGCTATACAGAAATAAAATAAATCAAAACTTCTAAGGACATGCAAATATGCTGTTAAGACTTCTTTACTTGAATAAAAACATAGGATCTCATTTACCTGTTGCATCCCACATTATATTTATGCATCCTCTCCCTCCATTAATGCTGTAATATCAAGATAATAACTCTACTGTTTGAGTCAAACCTTCCAAGATCTGAATCATCCACTGGATTGCTTTCTAGCACTATGAAGGGACTGTGGGTAATTGCATGATTCTGGTTTAAATCCCAGTGGAGTGAACCTGGTGTAGGGTTTGGTCTTGCAGATTTCACCACTGAGAATGTCATTTAAACCAACAGCATTACTGACTGCTGAGAATCAGTTTACAGAATTGCATCTAGTGTTTATTTTAAAATATTATAAATGATTGCATACACACATATTTAACTTTGCATCACACAAATGATTCCACCGACTTCCGTACAGCTATCTACAACAGGCAAAATAAATCATATCATAAGACTTGCAAACTAGGCTCCAGGACTGCTGTAGCAAATAGCTTCCTTGAACTGCCAATGCTTGTTGCAAACAACCAAAATGTAATTGCTAACCCCAAATTTTATTTCCATACCTTCTGTAAAGCATGCCTGTAGCTCTGATGCTTTTTCTGGTTCAGTTTCAGCTTTTTCTTCTCCAAAGAGAGCTAAATTAACTGTACTTCCTTCAGATGAGCTGGAAAAATTTAGCTTCTGAAAATAAAATTCAGTAACTTTACTAATATTTACAGTTTTAGAACTGTAACATAACTTTAAGCATGCAACACTGTGTGCAAGTAATAAGAACAATATTTGTCACCAGAAATACACACAAACATCCACATATAGCAGTCAATGCTGTTGAAATGTGCATAAATCATCCACTTTCTACCTAGAGATTGCAAGGCATATCATGTAATCTTTCAAGGAATTTCAGAATTTCTGGTCTAAATATAGTACAGCATTATCATTCATCAAAATTAACTACTACCAAGTAGATTTTCTGATACATATTCTATTTATTTTGTTTTCTACTCTTATTTTCTTACTATAATTTCTCTTGCTACATTTTAAACCAACATGTTACACTGTATGCTTTAAGACGATGCATATTGATAGCTACTTTCGTTAGAGCAGTCTCTTCAACTTGAAGACAGTAAATTCTGACAGCAAAAAACTTTAAATTGTGAACTGTCAGGGTAAACTGTCCAAGGGAGAAAATGTAGCAGATTTTTAAGGATTGATTTTAATTCAGTGCCTGTTATTCATAATATAAAAATAAAAGAAATTAATTATCAGTTCTTTTTCACTGACATCTTAAACATCAGTATGATGCAAGCTAACCACTTCTGGCATATAGGACAATTTATAATAAAATTTGGTTGCCTTTGACCACAGATAATTTAGTTATTTTTCATTTTAAGATCAATGATCTAGATTGGAAAATGCTAAAGTAAAATCAGGATTAACAGGAAACCTTGTCTCAGATGTGAATTTGAGCATTACCCTCAACACATTCATAAAACAAATTAAACCTGCCCTATCTTAACCCGTAATTATCACTACCATATGAACACCCTTTATGTTTTTTCATAAATACTGTTAAGTTTCAAAAAGGAAAAAGTATGATAAATACATTTCAACTGGCATTAATTTGCATTCTTTTTTGCCAATGCACGTATGTATTACATTGTGCATTCCGAAACTACCCATTACTCTGGTACGCAGTTAACACCTGAAAGAAAGGATTTTTTTGTTTGTTTTAATAATCAAAATTACATAAGTGACATTAGTACTAAAAAAATTACTAATAAAAGAGTAAGCCTTAATTTATTTTTTCTTCTGTAATCTGCATGTGTATTGCAAAAATCCAGAGACTGGAGATCTTAAAGGAAGATGCGGTGTCCTGTATACTTAATCTGAGTATGAGTACCAAAGTAAGTCAAAGTAGTTTTGGTCACAGCATTCTCTGACATTTTACAATGTTACCAAGTATGTAATATCAGTAATGAATTCACACAACTAAATGTCTGTAGGGAATGATGTAAGCACACTTTGTAAAACAGCCTCAGTTTTGCAGAATTAACACCATTTTCATTAATTTAGCTAGACTTGCATGATTAAGAGACATTTAATATATAAAAGCAGACAAGTTACAGGCACTACGCAATCAAGCTATGTTTACACCTCAATTGCAAAACATGAAAGGACAAAATTATTTTAGGTATTAAATAATTAATTTTTTTTGCTATGTTTTTGAAAGAAGACAGAGACAATTTAGTAAGAAAAAGTAACCCAGTGTTCTGCATTAACTTTTTTTATTAAAAATGATTCAGTAATACTGCCTAATTTGCTGTTACTTTAAAAACTGATTATCTGGAATACGACCCCCAAATTACTCATATTTAATGCAAACACCTCTTTTTCATTTTTCATAGCATTAATTTTAAAATACCAATATTCACAGCAAACATCTTCTCCTATCACTAATTCTACTGAACCTGAGGATAGCACTATATACCACCATCATTTTATTAATATGCTGCTTTCATCATTCCATGACATATCACATATATATTGCAAAATGTTGCAGCAGTGGTGGGTAAACTGAAATAATGAATTGAATTATAAATCAAATTACTAATTTTAAATATATATATTTTAAGAGTAAGGAAGTTTTGTGTCATACTGCCAATAAAAATTAAAAACATGAAGTACCCTGGGTCATTTGAAGTGTAAGCTACTTAGTACACTGTTTGAGGAGATGACATGAATTTAAATGAAAGAATACAGATTTTTATGAATTAACAACATTAAAAGATGAACAACCATAAGCGGAGAAGAAACTTAAAAGAATCAATGCGTTTAGAACATGACGCTATATATCTCATTTAATACATGGTAGAAGAATCGGAGATTAGAGAATTTTTTTTATTTTTAATCAAGAAAGGCAATTTTCTTCACTCTAGAAATCAAATTAGAGGCTTAATGAACTATTTTGATATAAAGGACAGGTAGCCTGGTTCGCTCTTTCTTCTAAGGACGGTGTAGGATATAATCCTGTGCTTGAAGAGTTACAGATTTAAATAAACAATGGTTCTCTTTTTGAAGTGAGGTGCTCATATTTTTCACTAAGATGAAGGTATCAAACAGCAAAAAAACCAGATGGTAAAAAGCAATATGCATAGAAGAGTTTCCTGTTCTAAATAAAAATTCAGTTAGTTCCTTTGCTATGTATAAAGTTCACAGAGATCTAACTGATTTTGTGAATCACACCAGGAACAGGACTTTTAGGAAAGACAGAAATGTTCATCCTTCACCTTCCACGGCACTTAGCTGCTGTTCAAAGTTTACCAAACTAAGATAAAAAGGCCTCCTTGTATATACACTAAGCACTGGATTGAATGGGTCAACTCACGTACTCAGAAGTTGATTAGCTGCCTTGATGTTTGCAAATCAGCAGCTAAAACATTGTTAGAGAAAATTCCCTCAACATAATACCTTTTTTTCTTTTTCACTGTTGGCAGTGAAAAGCTACAGAGATTTTGAATACATTAATTTTTTCAATACAAATATCTACTGTACTGTTACAAGGTCAAAAATTGGAGCTCATGACTTCCTTTTTTCCTGAAGGAGTCAAGGTATGATGGCACAAATACCTGCAAGACTAATGTTATTACTACAAATTGTCCCACTGAAGCCACTTAGGATTGCTTGAGGTAACTAGTAAAGAGTCAATCTTTAGTGAGCATCATCTTAAAAATAATAATTGAAAATGTACAAAAAATTGCAGATAATGACTGCAAAGAAAACTCCATAATAAGAGCTAATAATAAATAGGCTACTGATTATTCACACGGTGCAACCTACTGTGCATTCAACTTGTAAGTCACTCACATTTTGATATTCAAATAGTAAAGGAAAATCTGACATGTTTCCCAACCTCCAAAGCAAAGAACAAACGTACCAGCAATACAGCTGTTAATACAAGGAATAAAAGGGAAACATTGTCTTGTGTAATTTTGATAAAACAAAACAAACCCACAGGAAGACTGTGCTACATATTCTCATCTTTTCACTTACTAAGGATCTCTCTTTTTGCTTTTTAATTTAAGTAGACTGAGTCTCTTTTTGCTGGAGAAGGAGATAAAGAACTGCAATAAAATGTAAAAGACAATTGTTGATAACAGCACTTTGGAGAGTATGTGCAGGAACCTCTTAGAAAAGAGGATCCAAAAATATTACTACATAGAAATGCAACAGAAAACCTTAGCACGCCTGTGTTATGCTGCTTATATTCCAGCAACTGAATATTTTCCTGCTTAATCAGATCTATTTTCAGCAGGAAATACTTCTTCAATAAAAATAATCTCATTTTTCCATTTAGTCTCAACAAAAGGACAAAAAGCACATTTTTTGTAATCATCATCTTCACTACATCAGCTTGACATATCACTGAGTATGGTACTCTTCAGCATAAGCACAGTTGGTAAAGTCACTTTTATTAGGATCTTTTTATTTATCTTTTTCTGAAAAAATAAAAGTAAGTATGTCTGTAAATAAAGCTTGCAAATCATTTACCTTTGAAAGGAACCCAAAGTATTGTCCATAGAAAATACTTGGGTTTTTTCACCAAACTAAAACCAAAACCTACCTCTCCTAGTCTATGTAATTTAGAAAAAAAAAAAAAAAAGGCATGCATATCTATTAAAAATAAAAAAGCATCACCTTATTATGCAAGGAAGGTTACAGTAAGACAATATGACATCCAAATGAACAAGATTCAAGTATTTTTCAGTCAAATGATTACAAACCCCTGCTTTACTATTTTGCATGCTGTTCTACACCTGTTCAGATTCACGACAGCAGAAGCTTGAAGCAGTAGCAGTGCACATAAACCACATCCATCAAATCAGAATCATCCCCCCATACTTAGCACCAGTAGGATGGGATGCTACCACATTCTACTCTCCCCTACTTAAGTGCCTTTTCTGAAATCGTTTGGAAAAATCCTTAGAAAGACATTTTTCCACTCCATCTTTCTGAATAACTTACAGGTCCCCGTGGCACAAAAGTGAGACCTGAAATATTTCCAATATATAATAGACTGCAAAAGAATATACAAAAGATAATTGAGGATTCCACAACAAAACTAAGTGAACAAAATTTATATTTGGAAAAGGAATACCTCAATGACCTGTAAATGGCAAGGAGCAGAACTGCCCAACTATTCAAAACAGATCATCAGGAATAAGAAACACAGCTTGGTACAATTAAGGTTTGTTTTACAGTTCTGGAGTTCCTGAGTTTAGAGGTCTGGGAGGGTACTAGTTCTTATTTTGTCTGTTTAACAATTGTCTTAATTTTAGCCTTATCCTCGATGTTCCTAATTTTTATATTTTTTCTTGCTTGAACTTCCTTATTTATATCATTTTAAAACACCCTGATTTGTTTAGACACCTATGTAGAATCCTACACAGAATTTTTGCTTGAAATTGTTTATTCTGTCTTTCTAAAAATGAAGCAACTGGATTAAGTTCACAAAGAGACAATTATAGATGATGAAGAGCAAAACTGATATAAATGATTCCCTAACTTTGAATCTTAGACATACACAAACTTCATGAGTAGAATATAACTAAATTATTACATCCATATTCAAAAGGACTATGCATATGTATAAAAAAAAATATTTTTGATTGTTCTGAGGAGCATGTCTTTGATCCTATATTTTAGCTTCTCTTATATGAGAAAACTGGAATGCAAATTATAAAAACATTGTGAACAATCATGAAACAATTTATATCAAAGGATATAAACATTTTAGCACACAAGTAATTGTATATATGTAGTATTACAAAGGCATTGGTCAAATGAACATGATCAGAGAATGTTCGTAATTACATGACAGCTAAAAACATGGTTCAACAGATGAACAGAAAAAGTCAAGTGAAGATTACCTTTCCATTTTCATAAAATCATAGGCTGTTAACCTCTTTTAAGCTTGAACAGTCTTGATACTTAATAATTCAGTTAACAATATAAAAACCTACAAAGCATGCAGGTTATGCCACAGAAGTAGTACAGAAAATACCAAAGACGTAACAAGGAGAGAGGAATATGTTGGGGTTGCCCTCAACCATGCTGTGACGTGAGTCATGGGACTCAGCTTACAGGGCAGCTGAGCATGTTTCCACTACATTGCAATGGATGAGGAAAAATATATTGTAGCGGAGTAGCATGCAGGCCAATCAATCTCAAAAGTGATCATATACGTATGATTTGTTTAGGTAACCTGTGTAAACATGCTGACACGTTGCTCTGCCTGGTTAAAAAGCACCAGATCTGCATTCTTGACTGATCCAGCTTGATTCTACTCCTGTGAGAAGTAAGAATGGTACGCAATGAAGTTAAAACACGGTACCCTTTAGGTGTTTGAGTTCTGGAAACAGCAGAAGTATGGATTCCTACTTATTCAAAAATGTGTTTTCTAGATGTGTCACACATTTGCAAAACATAACATTTATAGCTGTTAATTAGAGCTTTAAGCATATCCAAAGACATACTGAAAGAGGTAAAATTAGCAGAATATCTGAAGCTCACAGATGTATATTGGACTTGGACCTGAATTTAAAAAAAAACAAAACACCAACCCTCAAACAAACAAACAAAACAAACCCCCAAACCCCTCCACCTCCATCCCCCCAAAAAACCCGAACCAAAATGACAGACAAATACACCCACACTATGTATATTACAGCCTTACGCATCCCCTAAATGGTAGTAATTAGACGTTTAAAGTAACAGAAATATATTTTTCCTTGCATTTCATTCTCAAGGTTATTCCTGGTCTTCACTAGATGCTAAATATGTATCTAGGATACACTTTCAGAAAGAAGCCACAGGCAAAACAAAATGAAACAAACCCATCATACCAGGTCAAACACGAAAACTTCTGGGCAAGCAATTTTTCCCAGCATTGTTAGCTTTTTTTAACTGCATGACTTAAAAAAAAAAAAAAAGTTTCAAATAGTTTAAGGTGCATTATGGACTGTAATGGAAATACAGCAATGTAAGAACAAAACCCCATGCCTAGCAATAAACCTGCATTTCCTCAAGTACCTCACATCTATCTTTTGTTAGTCTTCTGGTATAGATCTAATCTCACTTCTCACCAATGACTTCTCAAAGGCTCATCAAATAATGTAGCTATCTAACAACTCCAACATAAACTGCTCCCATTTAAAGGGAAAGTCTGAAAGAAAGGGCTGAAATAATCTACAAAATGAGCAATTACCTTACTGACTATGAACTACTGTACATGAAATGTTTTTTTGTTGTTAATTTACGTATCTCCTATGGTTGTCTTTTAACCATGGCAATCCTTAGCTACTTTTCCAAATCTGAGTGGGTTAAAATTAATACTAGATAATAGTATCTTATAAACAGCTAATGCTTATGTTTAATCTTGAATATCAGAGGTGAGAAGGCATAGATTTTGTTACCCCACTCTTAAATATAAAATAGTGAAAATGGGTGTCATTGATTGCTGGATAATTTCCAGGTAAGAGATTTAACAGAGTTATCAGAGAAAGAGTAAGAGCAAATTACCTGGATTCATCAGATATTCCTTCCACAAAACTAACTTTATTAAAACACACTAAGAAGGCCAGTATCCTTAATTCAGATTAATAATACGTAAATATGTAGCAGCTGTTCAGCAGACATTATAGCTTCCATACAAAGTGCAGTTAATACTTTAAAACAAATTATGAATATTGTTTGCTTTGCTTTTAAGAGGCCTCTTCGTAATCTAAGGTCTTCTCAACTGAGAGGTCAACATAATATATGCAATAACAGAACCTCCAAAAAGCAGATGGAAGAAATCAAGTGTCAGGAAATGAGCTGCTGAAATAAAAAAATAAGTGTAATACTATTGAACACTGCACTCTACAATAAAATAAATACCTAGAAGAGTCACCTTATTACACCTTTTAAATTTAAGTTTAATTTAACTACATTTTGCTAGACCAAACTTATTTTCTAAAATTAGGAAAGAATAATGGGCAAATTCATTGCCAGTTCAAAACAAAACAAGCAAAAACCTAAAAAGCCCACAACCAATCAAATAAAAAACCCCTCAAACCCCAAAAGAAAACAAAACAATCCAGACAAAGCAATCCAGGCTGGAGTACACCTGTCGGCACAAGCGTTGACACTCCATTAATGTCCTTGTGTCTTCAGGTGCCAGGGGAGCTGATACCAGACACAGTCTGCACAGGAGCCACAGCACAGCAATCTGAATTCTCAAAAGTGTCTCTCAGGATCCTGCCGAAATCCATGATTTTCCTTCCCCCTCAGTCTGCAGCTGCTGACAAATGACTGCTTTCCTAAAGCTCACCCATTTTAAGGTCAGGCAGTTGTATTTGAAGTGATGGGTTCAAAATTCCCACAAACAAGCAAGAAATTAATATTTTTTCATTCCGTAATTCTAGTTTTTCCTCATCATTTTTACTTGACATATTCAGTTTATAATACTGACATTGTTCCCTTGGCTTTCCCCCATCATTTTAACTTCAGAACTTGGCACCTGTTATTACTTTCATTAGCCTGAGTTAGCACCTCTGTTAGATTACCCAGTACAAATAATGCTGATTTCTGTAGAATTCAGTGAGCTTTAAAAATCAGATGGAAAGGGCATTAATATTCTTTATTAATATCTCCTCTAATCTTTTTTAATAGCAGTTTACTTTCATCCTTACTTCATGGAAACATTATGATTACATATATTAAAAAAAAAAGTCTTTTGTCTCTGTTTATTCTGTACGTATATACTAGTTTGTCTATCCAACTAAAAATTTGGAAAAGCTTGTTTTTCAAAACCCTTTTATAAATGGGTTCATATATGTTTATACAGGTCTGCCTGAATTTCCTACTCTCTTTAGCTCCACTTTCCCCACTTCAGTTTATTCACTCTCAGTACAGTCCAACAATATCAAATTGGAATCGCTTTCAATTTCTAAGCAGGAAGAGCCACATTATTAGAGAATACAACTGGTATAATTCATTCATATAAAATATAAAATATTTAAATTTTACCTCCTTGCTTTCCTCCAAATCTGAGTCACTGCTAAGCTCTTCTGTATTTAGATGTTCAAAATCAGATTCTCCAACAGCTATTGGTACTGTAACAGTAAGGCTTGGGTTGTTTATGAATGATGTATAATCACTGCCACCTATAACAGTGGCCATTCCATTCTCATTTTTGTGATAATTCGTATCTATCCTTATGTCAGCGATGGTACAGTTGGAAATGCAATGGTCTCTCTCATCGTTCAACTGATCTGTTGCTGTTCTTTGATTTACAACAGCTTGTTTCCTACAACAAGACTTTTGGACACATTCACCTGCTTTTTTCTTCACGTAATCTATTCCGTTCTGAATTCTTGCAACAGCAATCTGTAAGTTGTTCATTTCATTATCATCCTCTGTAGGAGAAAGGCTGTCTGAACTAAACGAACTCAGCAGCAAGGCCAGAAAAAGGTTCAATACCTTAAAAAAAAAAAAAAAAAAAAAAGACAATACAGGTGAATTTTTCTCACTCAATTTTTCATTCACATGCTTCTTCGATCACCCATTATGAACTTAGGCTTCATGTCTTCCTTCGCTGTATACGATTCTGGAAATTACACAGTAAATAAAATGTAAATGCAATTTAAATACAACACCTGCCCTATATCCCAATGCAGGGGTTTTTGTGGTTTTGCATTGCTGTATGACTATGAAGACACTCATAAATTCTTTTTCTGCTCATGTTTGTGGAAGGTCAGAAATGAATGATTCTTTGGTACTGACTGTACAGATCCAAAATGTTTACTTCTCTAGCACAGAGAAGCACTCTGCAACAGAAGACATAGCTGATCTGTGCAGAAAACAGCTTGCTTAAACACTGGTCCAAACTCACACAAAAGCTGCTGTATGCAACTTAAAAAAATGTGAAGCACACCCCATCTTCTAGCCCCCAAGCCATCCTCTTATGCCAAGACAAAACATAGAATAGATATCAGTTATACAAGCCCAGAATTTACCAGGAGCTGAAATGGTACTAGGATAGCCAAAGCAGCAGAGTACCAGCCCCTAAAGTCTTCAGATCAGCTCTTCTATGCAGCTTTAAAGACAACAGAGTAAAACTATGTGTTGGGAACACAGAAAGACAAGTGGTAACAGAGCCCTGAACATACAGCCAGGATTGTCTACTGTAAGAAATTCTACTAGAGCTATGGTATAAAATCAGAATACAGTAAATACTCTGGAAGAATTCAGAGATTGCTACTTCATTCCACAAAGTTGTATCTTCAGGTTTAGAAAACTATTTAAGGCGGACATTTTGTTTTGTCAACCAATTTCACAGTTCTCTTCATTATAAAACAACAGAATTGTAGAAAATCCTGGAGCAAATGGCTGTGCTACTAGTAGTAATGCATGACTGATTTAAAGGTAATTAGCTTATTTCTGTTGTTAGAAATTTTATTCCTAAAGAATGACTCCAGGATGGCTAATTTAAAATCTCTTTTGCTACTGACAGTTGCCTTAAAGAAAAGATGTAGAATAATAGAGGAAGACTCAATAGGCAGTGAGAAAAGCACAGCAAAAGGTGGAGCAATGAAGGCCTCAAATACTGGTGAGTTAATAAATACAAAACATATTTAAAAAGATAAATTTATACATAGTAATGGACAAACTGGTACAGATCTGATGCTTTCCTTTCAAAGAGAAAAAGAAGAAGATATAATACAGACAGCTTTAAAAGTGTCTGTAAAAACACTTAAGAAATAGGAAGCAAAAAGCTGAAGAGGTAGAAGAAAATATGAAGTATTTGAACCTGTTTTTTCCACAGAACTGCTGCCTTCCAATTCAAGTTTCCTTACCCCATTTATGTAAAAAGTTGGCTGTGCAGCAAGCAGGGCTTAAAATGGCTTAGATTTCAGAGTCTAAGAATGTTAAAGCAGTTTTTTAGACAGGAGAGAGCAGAAAAAGTAAAAAACCTAGCTACATGTGATTGGAAGTGATGCCTCATCAGTTAGGGAGAAAAGTGCCTGCTATGTCCTCTTCTGCAAACAGCAAATTCCCATCCTGGGAGCACAACACCTGGGGAGCCTTTGCTTGCTCTTCTCTCTCTAGGTAACCAGGAGTAGTCCACAAAAACCTGAACACACAATGCTTCTCTCTCTCACCCATATCCTCTGAATTGCACTCCAGACCCCTGAGGGGGCCCATCCTCCAAGCTGAGGATTCTATATAGGATCAGAAATCTAACAAACAGAAAACTCCATTTCAGAACCCATACTGGTAACAAATTCAAAATCATAAAATACATATTTAAATAACACATCTAATAATGCCTAAAACTTCATTACTGGTTCCATTACCATTCTTTCTCTAAATGAATTCTCAAATTATTTTGGCTACGTACCACTAGGTTTCCAATCACCATGACCATCATGAAGACAGTAAGGCACATGGGTTGGCCTGCAACCTGCATGCAGTCCCACATCGTTTCTATCCATTCTCCACACAGCACTCGGAATACAATCAAGAAAGAGTGGAAAAAGTCATGCATGTGCCAGCGTGGAAGTTCACAGTTCTCAGAGATCTTGCAGACACAATCCTTGTAGCTTTTCCCAAACAGCTGCATTCCAACCACAGCGAAAATGAACACGATGATGGCCAGCACCAGGGTCAAATTCCCCAGAGCCCCCACTGAGTTACCAATAATTTTTATCAGCATATTTAGAGTTGGCCAAGATTTTGCCAATTTGAAAACTCGCAACTGAAAAACAAAAATACAAAGACATTATTTGCAGTAGTTATAAAAACACTATAGAAATAAACAGATTATGAACTAGTGCCTCTCAGCCATAACAAAAAGAAGAAACTTCAACATGATTCCAACAACCATAACTTACACAGAAACAGGAGTTTCATAAAATCCACACTTTTAAAGCATAATAAATGTCAGACTGCTCTTTTTCTGTGTAGCATACCTGTATTCTTTTCTACATGAAAGAAAAAGCACACTGGTTGAATTTGTTCAGATAGTGAATTCTAAACATGGCATACGTCTCAACCATTATGTGCAGAAACAAATTTAAAAAACCAATAAAGCTCAACAGGATTCTACTGAAGGAAAATAAAGGATTCTGAAATCCTTGAAGAATGAGGTCTTTCAAAAGAATACTGCCTCCAACAAATTTTAAAAGGATCAGACAGACACACATTCTGGAAATAAAAGCCAAACACAAGCTGTAAGTCAAACATTTCAGCTTACGAAGGGGAAAAAGTATAATTCATACTCTTTCTCACCCGTAACCCACCCAAAATAAAAAAGGTATTAACTATATTTTGTTTTCAGATAAAAGCAAAATGGAAATGCAAAATGGAAAGAGACCACAGGGAAGGAATGTCTCATAGTTCATTTCTCATTTTTAAAATAAAAATATTTTTCTAATAAAATAAAGTATTCCTTTTTTGCCAAGGTGGGAAAGAAAAATATTTTTTATTTATTTTTTTAAAAATATGAATTTTGTAACTCTACATTTTAAAAGAACACTTCTAGTCTTTTTGCAATTTCCAGATATGGAAGTAGACAGAAGACTACAAATGTTTTATTTATTTATATCTCTCAATATGCACTAAATAAACTGTACACTTCACTGTGCTTTACCCACCCATGTTAAAACAATTACAATAAAATTACAGCTCTTTCCCTTGAAAAAATGCTTAGTTGCTTCTGAACCATAAAATGACACACACTGTTCAGTGATAACATAAATAATCTTGTAAAACATGCTTGCAGAGATACTCTGTGATGCTTAGCAAAAAATATACATATTACTAAAAAGTGTCTTATTTACATGAGTACAGTTAAAATACAAATATAATGCATTAATTAATGCAGATATATTATTATCACTGATTTATTTACCAATCTGAATGATCGGAGAACGGATAATCCATCCACATTTGACAGAAAAAGCTCCACCAAACTAAGGATAACTATAAAACTATCGAAAATATTCCAGCCAACTTGGAAATAATAAAAAGGATGCATGGCAATTATCTTGAGAACCATTTCTGCTGCAAAAATTCCAGTAAAAACCTGAAGGAAGAATGTTTATTGTTACTTTATAGATGAGTATGAATAAGTTGAACCAGCAGATAAAGAACAACTTAAGAAGTAACAACCCTCTTACAGCAGGATGTCAGAAAGGAAAATTATCACAAGCTGAACCTCACCAAGAAGGTAAGTGGCAACATCAAAATGAGCTGTAGCATAACTGTTAACTTTTAAACCCAAGATACATTTAGTGACTAGTGAAGAATAAAACTATTCTTAACAGACCTCCTGTTTGCTCCTCACATCTGCCATCCATCTAATTAAAGGAACTTTCCTCAGCAAGATAGTAACAGTTGCTCTTGCCACAATGGAAGCTGCTTTAACAAAGGTGTGTGGAAAAATATGAATTAGTCATAACCTGGAGAGTGATGTGCTATTAAATGAAGTCTTCATGAGAACTCACAGATACAGTAAGTATATCTTCTCTCTCTAGCTGCCAAAAAAAGGCCAGTTACGCTAAGGCTCATGTTTGAAGTAAAACTCCTTTCTGCCTCTGAATGCCTCTGAGGCCTTCTGAAGCAGAAGACAAAAACCACCTCTGAAATAAATTTATTGTGTTTCCTGTAGATGTATGACTACCAGTATCTACAGAACTGCATAAATTATTATCTTTTACTAGAAAGATGAACAGACTTTTAAAAAGGCAGGATCATTTGACAGTCTTTAAAAGATAGTGCTACACAGTTCAAAAAACAAGAAATCAACTGCTGAGACTACACCTGTATAATAGTGGCATTTTAGCTGTCTGGGAGTAAACACAAATTCTTATCATTATGAAGGAACACTTATACTCACACAGCTCAAAATTAGATGAATATTAAGCTACTTCATCACATATGAAAGGAAAAAATGGTTGCGTTTCCTGGGTAAAACACGCAGGCATGATCACAAGACAGCCCTCTGCAACAGCTATTGATCCTCACCCATTCGTCCTCCCTGTCTTTCTCCTCAAATACTTCCTGAATCTATTTATAAACAGCAACGTGACATGATTATATTCCACTGATAATGATCTCTGACTCCAGGTTAAGGTGAAAACTTTGAACTATGTCTGTAATGGCTAAAAACATCAGCATACAATTTAAATGTTGACACATTAACAACTCGGGACTTAAACCTGAACACGTTCCCAACATGTACTAGAATTTCATATATTCTAATAACCAAATTGTTTTATTATTCTGCTACATCATAATCACCAGAACTACCACTTATAATAAACATAGGTTAAGAAGTACAGCACATAACATTATCTGTATTATTGCCATTATAAAACAAACAAACCAACCACCCCAAACCCAACTTACAGACCGTGTCCACTAGGGAACAAACAGTCTATATCAACAGACACTCTTGGATTAAGTCACACATTCTTCAGCTTCCAAATTGTTATGGACCAATCAAAGCAACATTCTTCATGGAAATACAAAAATAACAAAAAAAATAACAGTGCAAAATCATAATCCAAAATAATATCCAATTCTTCTTGTGTTATCAATGATACAGTAGGAAGGGATCTAATGTGGCTCCAATGTTTTTTGCAATACTAAACAAAATCAAGTCAGATTTCTTTTGGATTTATGTCATTCAAACTCTGGTGGTTGAAAACTCTATTTGCAGAATTTTTAATATAGAAATCAACCTCTTATATACAACATATCTCAAATGGTATTTTTAGACTATTTTTAGTACAATTAAACCTTTATTTTATGGGATGATAATAAAAATAATAGAAGTAATTCTATTTCAAAGAGACACCAGGTTCCAACTGTATCAAAGGATATAGTTGGATGGACTTACCTGATTTCCTATTTTAAGTACATTACTGAATTCGTCAGTCATTGGATAATGTTCCATGGCCATAAACAGTGTGTTTAAAATTATGCAAACAGTGATAGCTAGATCAACAAGTGGATCCATTACAATAGATTCAACTACATTCTTTACTTTCAACCAGGGCTCCCAACAATTCCAAATTAAGAAAGTGTGGGCAAACTTATACCAGCAAGGTGGACATTTTTGTCTGGATTCTTCAAGTTCTGGCAAAAAAAAAGAAATATATAGTGAACAAGTTTTGAAAGATAATTTTTGGTTACCTGCTTTTTCAAGTTTTAATCTTTATCCCTGGAACCATTAAGGATGTTTGGAGGAACCTCCTCAGATTTCCAGGAACTTAAAACTTACTGCTGCTGACTGAAAACATTTTTAGAAGACTAGAAGAAAAACCTCAGGAGTTTTTAGCTAATAATTGAAAAAGTTGTCTATTTTTAATATCATATGATCTTGTTTAAAAAAAACCCCAAACTATTTATGCTTACATTTAGGGATAGTTTTCTCAGTAAAACTTCCAATTTCACAGTCCTCTCAAATGTTTAATTATTTATTTTCAGCAAAAATAAGATTAATTTCACCATAAACACATTTTTGAAAACTATTCAAGCTTTTTCAAGAATTTCACTAGTAATAATTTCACAGTTCCAAAGAATCCTACTACAAATTTCCTTCTCTGTATTAACTAAGGCCTGGCCTTTAAACTTCTGTAACATTTTTACAGTACAGTTAGTGGAAAATTTATCACAAGGCATATCTTCCAATAACTGTACTGTTAAACATGAATAACTTGTATAAAACACATACAGATTATCTATTTTAAACAGAATGTGTTTCTTTGTTTAGCCTTCTTATCAGATTCCTTCAATTCTTTTTTCACTAAGTACATGCACTTTTGTTCTATTATTCAGCTTATGTATTTGCAATGGCTATATATTTTTTGTCTTCTGTATTTGCACTATGATATAATACCTTCAAGCAAGTCTAAGACTATGTCAAGAAAGTTCACGCATCTGTAGCTATAACACACCTTCCATTGTATTTGTGATAATGCCAGCTATACTCATGGCTCTTTCCCTTAAACTGGGATCCTCCAGCAACTCCACTGGTATTTGATATGAACTTGCACGCCTCTTTTTTATTTCTATTTCTGTAGTAGTGCTCTATAAAAATAAAGGGGGGCATAAATTAAATTCAGCTTTAGAAATACTGCAAAACAGGTATCAGAAAGACTCTTCAGTTTCAATGAATTCATAATATATAAAGCTTTGTATTTTAGTGCTGTTACATCAGATTCTTTTCCATTATACATATAACATAAGCCTAATTTTTTTTTAAATGGCTATTTTCTCCTTATACTTCTGAATACTGTTAATACTTACAAAATACTAAAAAAAAAATTTTGATATTTACTTCCCAGATTACCATTGCATTACAGTTAACTACCATTAACTCCACATTAGACACAAAGAAATTTCGGAGGAGACCATAATCAAAGAAACAAACCAAGACTGTTGCAGCACTGGAATCAGAAAAATTCCTAGTTTCATGCTTTCTCTACCAATATTTCACTTTTAAACTAGTTTAATCACAAGATATTATAAATACGTGATTCATGCTAGGAAGTTTTCTGCAATAACAATTACTCTAAAAGTAATTTTTATAGATCAGTCTTGATCTCTATATCCTTTAAATTAGTTTTGAATGGGTATCTTTTACATTGAACAGCTATAATGTCTGATTCATTTTATTAATTTCAACTGAAGAAACAAAAGAAGTCTGATTTAACTAACCAAAAATTGAAAGTGTTTTATTAAAAAAATTGAAAGCTGTGTTATAGTTATATCGTTGAATACACCTCAATTACAAAAAAGTTTTGAATGTATGAGCATGAGTAGATTTTCTTCCAGTAAATTAAATAAATGCATGAAAATGAAAGTATAATTAACTGCAAGAAGATTATAAACTGTAAGGAATCTGGCTGATAACTGTAAGGAATCTGGCTGATGTACTTTCAGATGCTGTGACCTGTGTAAAAATTTTTGTTTCAATAAAAGAAGGTTTCTAGAAAAAAACATGCAATGGATCCCTCTGCTCCATTCCTGAAGCAGACTGAGGGAAAAGGGAAAACTGATCAGAGGGAGAAATGGATGAATTTGCATGTACTCCTTTTTTTTTTAATTATACCCTGATCCTAGGAAGTGAAAAACTCAGATCATCTCTGAGAGTCAGGAGAAAAAGAAAGGTTTCAGAGCTTCTAAAACATCAACATAATCTCAAAGGCTATGCTACATTTGCACAATACCAAATATACAGATGAGGGAAAAAAGTAGAACCAGGAATTTATTGACAGACAATTAGGAAATACATTTAAAGGGAGGCTAAAACCAT